TCTTCGTGCTGCCAGTCCTACTGTCACGCGTCTCCTGGCCACTGTTGTCACTGACCCTTCCATTGAGTCCACTACTGCGTCTGCCTTAGTGGCTGAGCTTGTCGACTTCGCTGCTCGCTGTCGTCTAGACTACGCCACTAGTCTTGTTGCTGAGTCCGAGTCTGTTTGTCCTCCGTCCGTCGGGGGTGGGTGTGCTCTTAGCACGGACGTCCTTGAGGACAGGCAGGAGGAGTTCCAGTGTTTTGCTGCTGCTTTGCCTCATCTCGTGTCCACGCTGATTGCCCCTGAGGGAGACCCGGATGCACCAGACATCCCGACTCCTCGATCGTACGCTGAGGCGATCGAGGGTCCCTACTCCTCTCAGTGGCAGTCAGCCATGGACGCAGAGATGGCTTCCTGGAAGTCCACAGGCACCTACGTCGACGAGGTTCCCCCACCTGGGGCGAACATCGTTAGTGGCATGTGGATTTTCAGGGTGAAGCGGCCGCCGGGTTCTCCGCCTGTCTTCAAGGCGCGTTACGTGGCTCGAGGCTTCAGTCAGCGGCAGGGAGTTGACTACTTTCAGACCTTCTCTCCCACCCCGAAGATGACCACTCTTCGGGTGCTGCTGCACATAGCCGCTCAGCGCGACTACGAGCTTCACTCTCTTGACTTCAGCACAGCTTTTCTGCAGGGCAGCCTGCACGAGGAGATCTGGCTGCGCCGCCCACCTGGCTTCACTGGGTCGTTTCCTCCTGGTACCCAGTGGAGCCTCAGACGGCACGTCTACGGTCTCCGCCAGGCGCCCCGTGAGTGGCACGACACACTGAGGACTACACTTGCGGCTCTTGGGTTTGCTCCTTCTACAGCCGACCCGTCGCTGTTTCTGCGCACCGACACCTCTTTGCCGCCGTTCTACATCCTCGTGTACGTCGACGACTTGGTCTTTGCCACTGCTGACGCTGCTGGACTCGCCCACGTGAAGTCCGAGCTGTAGAAGAGACACACGTGCACAGACCTGGGTGAACTGCGCAGCTACCTTGGCTTGCAGATCATCCGGGACAGAGCACAGCGCACCATTACCCTGACTCAGTCACACATGGTGCAGCAGGTCCTTCAGCGCTTCGGCTTCACGTACTCCTCGCCTCAGGCCACTCCTCTGTCTACTCGCCACTCGCTCTCAGCTCTGCCTTCGGATGAGTCCGTAGAGCCGAGTGGCCCGTACCCAGAGCTTGTTGGCTGCCTCATGTACCTGATGACCTGCACACGACCTGACCTTGCATACCCTCTTAGCATCTTGGCGCGCTATGTTGCTCCTGGGAGACACCGACCAGAGCACATGGCTGCAGCGAAGAGGGTGTTGCGCTACGTGTGCAGTACGTCGGGCATGGGGCTAGTGCTTGGAGGGCGACGTCGAGTGGTCCTCACAGGTCACGCAGACGCTTCTTGGGCTGACGACCAGCCGACACAGCGGTCGTCACAGGGTTACACCTTCAGCCTTGGCTCCGGCTCTGTTTCGTGGCGGTCTACCCGCTCGTCTTCTGTTCTCACCTCCAGCTGTGAGGCTGAGATCTACGCAGGGGCCATGGCTGCACAGGAGCTACGCTGGCTCACCTACCTGCTGACTGACCTAGGAGAGCCGCCTCGTTCTCCTCCAGTTCTGTACGTAGACAACAAGGCCATGCTGGCCTTGTGTTGGGAGCACAGACTGGAGCACAGAACGAAGCACATTGCTCTCCGCTACTTCCTGGCTCGTGAGCTGCAGCAGCGTGGTCAGCTCCGTCTCACCTACGTGGCCTCTGAGGCCAACACTGCTGATATCTTCACCAAGGCCCTTCCGCCTTGTGATCATCAGCGCTTCTGTACTATGCTAGGTCTTGTGCCTACTTGGCCTCACTTGCTCACTTCTTGACCTTGTTTGTACTGTACTCTTTCTATACCTGCACTTGCTTGTTTACCTTTATATATATGATCTTGCATGTGAACTGGCCTTGTGGCCTTGCTCTTGTGCTCGGACTGTGTGGTGACGTTGTGATCCACCCTGAGCTTGCTTTGCTTTGCTTGACTGGTCTTGTGACCCCTTGTTCTCCCCCACTTTTCCTATGGGGGTGTGTCAGGCATATATGCTATAGTCTGTGTAGGCTGTAGTGGGGCAGTTCATATGGGGTACAACACTTTAGGGTTTACTACTTGTACTCCTCATTCTGCTCAATGCATTCATTCCTCGTTTCTTATCAGTTCTTACAGCCGGAGCTGGAGTTCCTGGGGCACGTGGTTTTAGGGGAGGGCATTAAAATTGACCCTCGTAAAGTAAAAGCGATTTCAGAGTGGAAGTCGCCCACGAACATCACGGCATTGCTGAGCTTCCTCGGCTTCGTTAACTACGTCCGCCGTTTTGTACCGAATATGGCGGGGGTATCCAGGCCGTTAACCGATATGCTGCATAAGGGCGTGCAATTTTTATGGGGGGAGAGAGAGCAGCTGGCCTTCGATGAACTGAAGACAATTTTGAGTTCACCCCCGGTACTTCGCCTGGCAGATCCATCTCGACTGTTCGAAGTCGTGACGGACGCCAACGATTTCGCCGTCGGCTCTGTGCTATTACAGGACTTCGGCAACGGGCTGCAACTCATCGCGTACGAATCAAGGAAAATGCAGCCGCCCGGGCGCAACTACCCTGTCCACGACTAAGAAATGCTCGCCATCGTGCATGCATTTCTTACCTAGCGCTGTTACCTCACGGGAGCTGACGTCACCATCCGAACCGACCACAAGTTATTACAGTACATGCGCAGCCAACCACAGCTCAACCCGCGACAAATTCGGTGGCTCGATTACCTCGAGTCCAATTTCAGCTACACCATCACCTACAAAAAGGGCGCCAACAACATTGCCGACGCCCTGACCCGCCCATCGATGCATACCGCAGCAGTACTAATTGCCCATTCTAACCCTTTATTGGCAGGATTATTCAAGCACGGCTACAAGACCGACAGGTTTTTCAGGACCAATCAACATCAACGGGTCACCACTGCACATGGGAGCTATTACCTAAAAATCGGTACCAACCGAGTTTGGGTACCTTCCTACCGACCCCTACGAGAATTGCTGACGCAGGAAGTACACAACTCCAACCTCTCCGGGCATTTCGGCGTCGAAAAAACACTGAAGCTGCTGTAGCGGAATTACTACTGGCCCGACATGGCATCGGACGTGCAGCACTACGTGTCCGCCTGCCCGACCTGCCAAGCAATGAAGTCATCACGGCAACGTCCAGCGGGATTGCTGCAGCCACTCGAACCACCCGAACGACCGTGGCAACATGTGACAATGGATTTTATCACCGGGCTGCCAGCTGGCGCAAGTGGCAACGATTCGGTCCTCGTCATCGTCGACCGCTTAACGAAAATGGCGCATTTCGCACCATGCCGCACGACGATCACAGCCGAAGAAACAGCAAAGCTCTTCATCGCGACCGTCGTACGCCTCCACGGGTTACCTTCGGCGATCATCAGCGATCGGGATCTGAAATTCACGTCGAAGTTCTGGCAGGAGACGTGGGCACAGTACGGCACCCGCCTGCAGTTTCCGTCGTCATACCACCCGCAAACCGACGGACAAACAGAGAGGACAAATCAGACAATGGAGCAGTTGATTCGCACGAACTGCCCCGACATCACCAAGTGGGAAGATTTGCTCCCCATGCTTGAGTTTGCATACAACAACGCCCCTTCTGTAACGACCAATCAGTCGCCGTTCTACCTCAATTATGGGATAGATCCAGTGGTACCCTCGTCAACGACTCCCGACAACCCGGTACCCAGGTCGCAACGGTTTGTTTCGGAACTTCAAGAAGCGCGTGACAAAGCAGCAGAATTTATCCGGAAGGCTAATACTGTCTCCAGCCGCTATGCCGACCGACATTGACGGAACTTACCCTTCCGTGCCGGGCAGATGGTCCTCTTGGACACGAAGAATCTCTGCCTGCCCCAACCAGCAAAACTGCGTCCCCGCTACGTGGGACCTTTCCGCATCATCCGGATGCTGACCCCGGTCACAGCGAAACTTCTACTACCGGACGACTGGAAGATACACGATGCCTTGCACGTCAGTTTACTTCGCCACTACGTGGCCCCGCAGCCGTCCGACGTCGCTCGACCCAACCTGGCGCCAAGTGTCCGTCCTATGGCAGATCCGACACTTCAGCCCTGGAAGATTTTAAATCATCGCAGTCGTGCGACCCCCGCAGGACGACACGTCGACTTCCTCCTACGCTGGGTGGATCGCACAAGCGAAGATGACACGTGGGTCCCAGCTGACTCACTACAAGGCCACTCGGTACTTCCGGATTATCTTTCCCGCCGACGCGTGCCTGATATTGACCACCTTTCTTAAGGGGGGGGGGGGGGGTAGTGTAAGGAATTTTGCTAATTCCTTACTGAGGCCGCTCTTACGCGTATAATTCCAACTTTCAGAATTCAGGCTCGGTCCGTCGACCTCGCCTTCCGAACGTCAGCCGCGTCGCCTTCGGGTTTCCCAACCCCAAACCTACACCCAACCTTCGAGCGACTCCGCAACCTCGGCCTAGCTAGCAACTATATTATGCCTAGGCCTCGTTGTTTGCTCAGTAGTTGTAATCACTTCCGCGATATTGCATTCTGCGCACTCTTCATTCTTACAACTCATAACACTGATGATGCGATGTTATGTTACACGACCACGATGATCTGGAAATTCCACATTCTCTAAATTTGAAGGCATGTAATTCCATGAGGTTCACAACATTAGTCCATACCATTTTGTCAACCACTGCTAATTCTGAGCTGGAAAACCACCTGATGATTTTTGGTCTACTTCCAATGCAACAGATACGGTAGCATCAGACATCTGAAATATTTCTTCGAACACAGATAACTGACTAACTTGATTCTAGGGTATATACAATAAACAACTCGTCCCACGCATTATTTACATCCCTGATCTCAACACAGAGCATTGCACGAGTCCTCCATTCTCACACCTCATTCATTACACTCAGCGCCACCCTGCTCCTCATGTTTCTGCAGGTGCATGAGAGCCCTGTCCACCATGCCCCCTGGCTCCAGCAGTGCCATCAGCGCCCCCACTGGAACCAAACACAGCTGCCTGCGCTGCATCTCCCCCCCCACTCCCTGCCACCCCAACACTCTACCTCCTGCACACCTGCCATTCATCCTACCACATCCCCCCCCCGAATCTGCTCCACTCTCTCTCTGTGATGCCCTTGCCTTTCCGCACTGTGCCTTGCCCCCCCACCCAGCGGTGGAGGTGGATGCAAGCGGTCGTGGTGCGGTGGGGGCAGGAGTGTGCAGGCGAGGCAGGGGGGTGGGAAGAGTGGAGGTGCAGGGAAAGAGCACGCGTGTGGTGGCAGCAGGCGAGCAGGGGTGCTGGTGGAGGTGCAGGGAGTCTGTGAGGTCCTGCATGGCGGCCAGCGGGGTGCACATGTCACATGATAATGCAGCACCACGTACCGTATGGAATAAATTGCATGGTGAAGCAACAAAGGGGATGGCATGGCACAGAACAACATGGCGAGTCAATGCATGGCGAGGCGTGGCAGGGCGGGGCGGGGCTCACCAGGACCTGGCGCTGCAGGAAGTGCACGTACTGCACGGCCTCCTCCAGGAAGCTCTCCGTGGTCATGCAGCTCGCCCCCGGCACCAGCGCCTGCAGCTGCCTCATGCGCGCGTTCATGCGCTCCCTGCGCGCCTGCACCACGCCAACCACACTCAGTCAGCCCACATTGCATCGCTGCCAGCACAGCTAGCGCGCCTATGCAAACTGCTGTAGCATGGTGTGCATGCTAAGACTCAAGCACACATGACACGACCTACTCTGGCTTGCACAGCTTGCCCTTCCGTGCCTGCTCCTGTTGCCCGCCTTCCATCCGCCCCCCCCGTGCGCCACGTTGCAGTGCCCCCGGCACCTTTTCCACCCCGCACCCTTGCTCCTCCCTCTCGCCTGCCGCACTCTCCCTCACCCCAGCTGCCACTCCCAGCACCGCTGCTGCTCCCTCTGCTACATCCTCTGCCCATCTCTGCTCCCCCTGCTCGCCCTCCTGTCTTGCTTGCCTCTGCGTGCCCTCCTACCACCCCTTCCGATGCCAGCCCTCGCCCCTCCACACGGGTTGCTGCCTCCAAGCCTGCACCGTTGACTCCCTCTGCTGCCCAGCCCTGCTGCACGTCGCCTTGTCGTGGGCTGTCGCACCCCAGAGCCCCGGCCAGGGCCCTGAGAGCCAGCCCCAGCTGCTGCACCTCCCACGCACTGCGTTCACCCGCACTGCTGCGCCCAGCAGCAGCCGCACACGGGGCAGCTTCCCCGCGCGGCGCCATGCCTGCCCCAGTCGCCCCGCTGCTGCCAGCAACAGCTCCCTCACTTGAAGGGCAATTGTTCCCTGCAAGCGTGCGTGAGGCCGAGGCGCTGGCAGCAGAGGGCGGCGGCCGCCCTTCCACAAGGCATGGCGTTGGCACCTCACTGGCGCTACAAGGCCGAGCAGCAGCTGCCTTAGGGTCGCCATTGCCCGGTAGCCTCACTCCGGCACCGCGCAGCAACGCTGCCAGCTGCATCAATGCCTCTGGTGCTGCCCCTTGCAAACCTCCTCCTCCACCTCCACCTTCTCCTCCTCCTGCTGCTGCTGCTGCTTGCTCGCCGACAACTGCTGTCTTTTCAAGTGCCTCCGCTCGCCCGCCTGTCACCACAGCCAGTCCATGCGCACCCCACGCCTGCCCTGCTGCGCCAGTCGCCGCACACCCCTGGGTGGAGAGCGCGCTGCTCCACGTGCTGCCAGGCACGCCCAGACGCAGCCCCGGGCTGCCGTCCAGGCACCAGCTGGGGGGGGACGGCCGAGCGCGCTTGGCGCAAGGAGGGGTGGCGCAGGGCGCGCTGCTGCCCGCCACACTCAGCGCCGCGGGGGGCCCGGCGATGGCGAAGGTGTGCGCGGTGTGGCTGGCGGTGGGGTGCGAACTGGCGGGTGGGAGCGGGGCACAGAGGGCAGCAGGGAGCGTGCGAGCGCTCCCCAGGCCTGCTTGCGCATTGCCTCGCTTCCTCCCACCGCACCCACCGCCACCCCCCTTGTCGCCCGCCACTGCCGCCTCCACCCTGCTCCCCGTGCCCGCCCCCCCATGACCACGCTGCGCCGGATCAGCGGGTGGGGCGTGGAAAGGGGTTAGCGGAGGGCGCGCAGATGGAAGGGCAGGCGGGTGCGGAACAGAGAGTAGAGGAACGGGGGGCATGGGTTGGTGCGGGCGCCAGCATGGTGAGGGGGCATCGGCAAGGGGCAGGTGAGGGTCGGAGGGGCACGAGGGGGGGTCGGATGCAGAGGGCAGGTCGAGCAAGGGCAGGGCGAGCAGATTCGAGGGCGACGGTAAGCCACAGTCGCGCGGCGACGGCAGCACGGATGGCGGCGAAAGCATGTCGCCCGGCGACAGTGGCATCAGCCCCATCATCGCGTCGCGCTGCTCCATGTCATCACCCGCTGCGCGCTGCGCCTCTGCATCCTCTGCTGCCATGGCCGCATCACCCGCGCCCCCCTCGCCGCTGCTGCTGCCAGTACCTCTAAACCCCCCGTCCTCCTCGTCCCCTGCCCTTGCGCACCTGTCCCCTGCCACGACTCCTCGATCCACCGTTCCTATTCGTTCTCCCCCATCTCCGCCCGTCCCCTCTTTCCCACTCCCCTCTCGCACGTGCCCCCCCCCAGCTGCACCCTCACTTCCACTGCCACCGCAAATCCTCTCCCTCGCAGCGTTGGACCCGGCGGCATCCCCCGCGGGCGTTGCGCACTGCGCCATCTCCGCCAGGACGTCCGCCAGCGACAGCGACTGCAGGCGGTCCAGCGGCACCAAACTCGGCAGCGGCCACGACGGCGCGCGCCGATGACCCGCGCTGCCGCCGCACGGTGCAGTGGCCGACCCTGCCATGAGAGAAGGCGCGCCGGGTGCAGCGGGCGCGGGCGCACCCCGGGCGCTCAGCGAGCCTAACCGCTCGACCGCGGGCGCAGCAGGCGGATGCACACGGGGGGTCGCAGGCGCGCGGGAGACGTATGGCGAGGGGCACGGCGGGGAAACCGCGCCGTGATCGCGACTCATGGCACGTGGCGAGGAAGCGAGTCGCGCCGGGAAGGCGCGCGGTACGTGGCGACTAGGAGACGAGAGCATATGGTGGTGCAGGGGATGGGGCTCACGGCGGAACTGACGCTCTAGCACGGGTCTCGAAAGAACGCAGAGCGAGCGAGAAGGACTCGCTTGACAGCAGCACCATACGCAGGAAAGGCAGGTCGCAAGTAGTAACGGGCGTCGTGCGGCACAAGGTGGAGATCATGTCCACTAGAATCACGAGGCGGCGGGACAAATGGTTCGACAAGAATGGGCCAATGGGTGGGGCGTGGTGGTGGCGAGGGCGTTACAGTGAATCTTGGAATGGCGCGGCACCTTTGGCCGCTGCTCGCTGCCCTCTCGTCGCCCCTCACCCTTCTTGCAGGGACGCCGTGGGACTGATGCGACTTGCGTCCGCAGCAGCAACGCTCCATTGCAGATGCCCGCATCCGATTAGCGTCCCTGTTGCTGCTGTCTCCTTCACTGCCCTGATGCCTGGTCCGTCCACCACGCGACTGCTGCCGCGAAGATGCGCTGCGGGTCAAAGTGGGGCTGCTGTGGGTGGGGCACGGGTCAAGCAAAAGACGACGGGCTCCTGCTGCCAGCGACCGACTCAGCACGGAACGTATCCAATTGGCTCACGGTCTGCCCCGTCGCACAACATTTGACGAATCTTCTGCTGTGCTGCACAACGCGCCGTTACAGAGGCACAGCCGACTTGATGGCTACCCCACCTGCCCGCCACCGACAGTTGCTGCTGGCGAGATGGCCCCCCTCCAGACCCACCGACGGGCGGAACGCTGGCACCACATCCCTAGCGGTTTCGCTGTACAGTGGAAGGTGTTACGAACAGTGGAAAAACGGGGCCACAAAACCAGGTGCACTATCCTTAACTCGCTAAACATTGTTTCAAATACTCCCCCAACATACCTTAAATTGTTCTGCATCTTTTTGTATATGTGCACCACTGCCCAACTCGTTCCGTTGGCTGTAAAAACAGCGGATATTTGGAAGCATTGATTCTCGTTACAATTTGTAGAGGGTCTTAGCCAGGATTTTGCTCAGGGTTGATCGCAGGGTGATGCACAGCGGAATTATTAATGACTCCTGTCAGAGTGGAAAAAAAAATTGACAAAAATGGTTATGTCAATGATACGCATTGGTTCATATGAGATTACCGGGGAAATCAAAAGCTCATAACTAGCCACATACTCTATAGGGTTGCATTCACTTACTACGGTTAGATCTCAACCGTGTAATGCTGGAACCCGTTACGAACATGTTTCCGCCTTGTACATTTCGGATGTTTCAGCTCGCGCTTGGTAGTAGCCTTCCTCGGCCCTTCGCTTTATTGCGTCCTTTGATCTTCGTACTCGTTCAAGTATTGTCCTTGTTACCGTACGTTCAAGAATAACAACTGTAAGTCTTTATCATAACACCCCCCTTCACTCTTGGGCATAGCAGGTCTTAACTCGCTTGACTACTCTGTTAAAAGTGGTGCATTGCTGATACTGCTATCATGGCAGTCGCTTTGTGATAAAGTTGGTTGCCATGTCACCAGTGGGACATTATTGATAAGATACTAAGTAGGCTTAGGAGCCATAGTTTAGGAGCTTAGTAGTTGAGAGGTCGAGGGTAAGGAGAAGTGTCGAGAAAGTTGTGAAGGAGAATGTGTTGTTCACTATAGCACAAGAGTACATATAGCAAACAGAGCATGCAAGGTGCACCACCAACAAGAAAGTTATATGACTACAGTATCCTACACTACAGGCAGTTATAGAACAATATATATTATTCTGACACGCCCCCATAAGTGACTGTAGGGAAGAATGTGCAGTCAACGCCCCCTGAAGGGGTACACCAAGCGCAGGAGAAGGAGAGGGGAAGTGAGGAGGAGGAGGGACTGTGACAGGAGAGGAGATGGGAGGCGACGGCGAAAGCTCCAGACACACGGCGCAACTGGAGCAACTGGCACACGGGCAACTAGAGCAACAGGCACACTGGCAACTGGAGCAACTGGCACACGGGCAACTGGAGTAACTGGCTCCGCGGCTAGACGAGCGGCAGGAGCAACTGAGCCACGGGCGACTGGAGCAACGGGCTCACGGGCGACTGGAGCGACGGGCTCACAGGCGACTGGCGCAACGGTCTCACGGGCGACTGGAGCTGCTGGCTTCACGGCGGCCACCTCCACTCAACCTCCCCCACCTGTCCCACACTCATCACCCCCACACCCGCCACCCCCATACCTCCCACACTCATCACCCCCACACCCGCCACCCCCATACCCACCCCCCCACGGCTGCACCGAGTCCAGGAGCGGGTGCTGCAGTGGCGGCTGCTCCAGGGACGGCTGCTCCAGGGGCGGCTGCTCCAGGGGCCAGGGGCGGGTCCTGCAGTGGCGGCTGCTCCAGTGGCCAGGGGCGGCTGCTGCAGGGGCGGCTGCTCCAGGGGCCAGGGGCGGCTGCAGGTGCGACTGCTCCAGGGGCCAGGGGCGGCTGCTGCACTGGCGGCTGCTCCAGAGGCCAGGGGCGGCTGCTGCAGAGGCAGCTGCTCCAGGGGCGGCTGCTCCAGGGGCCAGGGGCGGTCCCTACAGTGGCGGCTGCTCCAGTGGCCAGGGGCGGCTGCTGCAGGGGCGGCTGCTCCAGGGGCCAGGGGCGGCTGCAGGTGCGGTTGCTCCAGGGGCCAGGGGCGGCTGCTGCAGCGGCGGCTGCTCCAGGGGCCAGGGGCTGCTGCTGCAGGGCTAGCTGCTCCAGGGGCGGCTGCTGCAGTGGCGGCTGCTCCAGGGGCGGCTGCTGTAGTGACGGCTGCTCCAGGGGTGGCTGCTGCTGGGGCGGCTGCTCCAGGGGCTGCTGCTGCAGGGGCGGCATCGCCGGTGCAAAGCAGGCCCGCGCGCTGCCGCAAAGCAGGCGCGGGCGCAGGGGAGGCAGAGGCGGCGGCCAGGGGGGGACGCGCCGCGACGAGCAGGTGACTGGGCCACTAAGGGTGGCGACGGGGCCGAGAAGGGCGGCGACGGGGCCAGTAGGGGCGGCAACGGGGCCGCGAAGGGCGGCGACGGGGCCGCTAGGGGCGGCAACGGGGCCGCTAGGGGCGGCGACGGGGCCGAGAAGGGGCGGCGACAGGGCCGCGAAGGGGCCGCGAGGGGCCGAGAAGGGCGGCGACGGGGCCGCTAGGGGCGGCGACGGGGCCGCTAGGAGTGGCGATGGGTCCACTAGGGGCGGCGACGGGGCCGCGAAGTGCGGCAACGGGGCCGCTAAGGGTGGCGCGAGGGGCCGTGAGAGGGGCAGCGACGGGGCCGCGAAGAGGCCGTGAGGGGCCGAGAAGGGCGGCGACGGGGCAGGAAGACGCCGCGCGTCCGGGGCGCACGGCGGGCGGAAAACCGCCACGCGCCCCGAGCGCGTGGCGGGAAGAAAAAGGTGTCGCGCGCCACGGGGCGCACGACAGACAGGAAAGCAGCGTAAGCACGTGGGGCCCACAGGCCAAGAGCGTAGTCGCTCTGATAGCATGATAAGATACTAAGTAGGCTTAGGAGCCATAGTTTAGGAGCTTAGTAGTTGAGAGGTCGAGGGTAAGGAGAAGTGTCGAGAAAGTTGTGAAGGAGAATGTGTTGTTCACTATAGCACAAGAGTACATATAGCAAACAGAGCATGCAAGGTGCAAAACCAACAAGAAAGTTATATGACTACACTATCCTACACTACAGGCAGTTATAGAACAATGTATATTATTCTGACAAGTATGTTATATCAACATTCCCTTTATCAATTTCGTCATTGACGACGAAGTATGTGCTTCGTCCTGTTGACAAAACGGGCCTTGTTCGCGATCTTGATCATGCTCTTGTTAGCGCAGTGGAGGCGGAAGGTTAGAGATGTTGCATATCCTGCCCCATGCAGAAGCTCCTACAGGTAGAGGCCTCCGCGAACCGCAGCGGTAGCGACCATGAATTCTGCTCCGGCTGACGAAAGGGCAATCGGCCCTTACTTCTGCGAATCCCATATTAAGCCCGTCGGCGCGAGTCAGAAGAAAAAGCCAGCTCGTGAGTGTCGTTGTTAGAATCAGCGTCATGATCAGCGTCCATGTAGCTGACGAGGTTGAATGTCTGGGTTGTGAGGCTCGAGTAGGAGAGCCTAATGTTGGGCGTGAAGCGAAGTGTTGCAGGGTGCGCTTGAGGAGATTAACTCTACAACGGTGGAAGCTAGACTATGGGATTGGCACGAGTTGTCCGAGTGATCGTAGCTCTGTCTGTACTCTCTAGGACTTGTGTTTTCACAGTGCAAAACAGCAAGAGTCTCACTTAAGAATGTTCAGAATACAGAGTTCAAAATGAGAACACCCAATGACAAAGATTGACTACATCACATGCAAGGTTTGCTAGTGCTCAGGCACGTCGATCGCCAGCACGACAAAGACGTCGACCTGCAGCATCTCCACGACCCGCCAACGCAGCTTGTGTGCGACTTCCCAACGCTGCAGAATGGCGGCCTGCCAACGCTGCACCCGCGCGGCTTGCCAATGCTGCATCCGCGCGGCTTGCCAATGCTCCATCCGCGCGGCTTGCCAGCACTACATCCGCAGGAGATTGTAAGCGCATGTGCAAGCACCTACTCCGCAGGTGCTTGTATGTTGAGAAAACTAGGTAGGAGTGTTTGAATATTGAGAAGATAGGGTACACGTACAAACCCTAGCAATGTGTTGTACCCCATATGTGCTGCCCCACTACAACCTACACCCTAACATTATGTATATAATTTGACACACCCCCATAGGCAAAGTGGGGGAGAACAGAGGGTCACAAGACCAGTCAAAAAAAGCAAAGCAAGCTCAGGGTGGATCACAACGTCACCACACACAGTGAGCACAAGCAAGAGGCCAGTTCACATGCAGAGATATATAAGCAGCAATAGCACAGTGATCACTACCTAGCAAGAGAAAGCATGCAGGTATACATATAAGGATCATAGTAATAGCAAAGTCTACAACACGTGTGGTAA